AGACCCAGGAGCCCTCTTTTATAGGTGACTCACACCCCACGAGGTCCATCATGAAAAGTTTCCATTTGATTGGGCCTTTTGGGTTTCCCCTTGAAGGGGGGTGGCGCCCCAAAGCATTAGCCACGTGGCTCAACAGTCAACCACGTGTCCCTTCTAGATCAACGAGCATATCCCCGACTCCAACTCGTAATCCCCATACAAGCACGAGACAGACACCCCACGCGAGGGAGTGCTCGACGCTACGGCGCGTACACGGGCACATCCATTCAAATATCTCAAGGACGAAATAATGCTCGACACCTCAACAACCCCCCTGAAGACGGGCACGTTGAAAGAGATCTCATGGAGGCTCCCCGTAACTAATACGGTCTTCTCGAGCAAGCGACTGACCCCTTCGGTCTCACTGCTTGTTCATCCATAATATCCCCGACACACTTGAACATGTTGTCCCCCATGCGGGCAACAACTCGTTTCTTTTAAAGGACTTTAACCGTCCTTCTCGATCAAGTCTCCGACCATGAGAGTTGAACTTAAGTCACCACGATTTCGCTCAAGAGCAATAACTTGGGTGCTCCTGATCTGGACTAGGGCCTACACTTGTTCCTCGGATAGGAAGCCCAAACCAACACCTTTGCATAAGGCCTAAAAAACAGACAACCCAAGTTAGGGACCGTTGGGCAACTCCCCACATATCCGTTAGGGAACGTGACCCACGTCCTCATGTCAGCCATCTTAACTGCCCTCCGGGAATCACAGGTCTAACTCCTATTCTCGTGGAGCAGTTGACCAGGGGAGAGTCCACTTGCTGGACTCTATACACACGTAAGCCCTGTCAGTTTCTGTTATTGGGCCTCAACGTGACCCAATAATGGAGACCTTGACTCATCGCTGGGGGCTATAAATACCCTCTCTTCTGAGAGAGTCGGATATTCAACACTTTCTAACTCTCACGCTTGTTTGCTCATTCTGCAACTTACTTTGACATCAAAGTGTCTTGCAGGTATTTTCCCCCTATTTTACTCAATTTCTGCCCGAACTAACTGTGACGGTCCAATCTGATCAGATACGATCAGATTATGTATAAGAACCCATAAATAACCCATTTATTAAACAAACAAATTTTTTTATCTATGTGTTAATGAGTAACAAAAAGTTGTATACAAGTGTTAGTGAGTAACTGATGTATGATGGCTGAGTATTTAGTGGGTGTGCATGGAATTTAGTTATTTGGGATTGAGTGGGTATGGATAGAATGTAGTTATTTAGAACGTGAGATTAGTGTAATATTATTTATTTTATTATTTTTAATCAAATGTAGTGATTTGAATTTGGAACCACGAAATAGAATTTTTAATTTTATGATAAATAATTATGATTAATATTTTGTTGATTTTAGTTTAATTAATTATTTAATATCATTTATTATAAATTTGTACAAATTAGAATGTCAATTTTATTCTTAAATTTTTTGGAGGTAAAAATTAAAGGAAAAACTTTTAAGATTATAAAGTATAATTTAATATTGAATATGGAATAATATGACGGGATGAAAATAAACCAAAAATGAAACGTGCATATGATTATTTATTTATTAATAGTTAATAATAATAATAATAATAATAATAATAATAATAATAATAATAATAATAATAATAATAATAATAATAATAATAATAATAATAATAATTAAGTGATTTAAATTAATCTTATTAATTAAAGTTATTAACTCATTGAAAGAAATTTTAACGTCAAAATTGAGATTATGTTAGTGATTTTCTATATTTTTATTTTATTTTATTCATTATTTAATAAAAATTAATTTATTTTCATTAACTTTCAACTAATTTATTATATTTATTTATTCAATAAAAATTATTTTTAAAGTAATTTTAATATTTATTTTAATTTATTTTAATAATTAATTAGTCATTTCTATATTTATTTTTATCTTACTTTATTTATTATTTAACAAAAACTAATTTTCTCTCGCTTTACTTTTATTTAATGAAAACAAATTTTTAAGTTAATTTTAATAAGTTAGAGGAAGAAAATTAGTTTTCATTAAATAATAAGTAAAAATAAGATAAAAATAAATATAGAAAATGATTAATTAATTATTAAAATAAAACAAAACAAATATAAAAAATATTTATTATTTAATAATAATTAACTTTCTTTCACTAACTTTCCACTAATTTATTATATTTATTTAATAAAAAATTATTTTTTAAAGTAATTTTTATATCTCTTTTATTTTATTTTAATAATTAATTAATCATTTCTATATTTATTTTAATCTTACTTTAATTATTATCTAATAAAAACTAATTTTTTCCACTTTACTTATTATTTAATGAAAACTATTTTTTAAGTTAATTTTAATAAATTAATGGAAGAAAATTAATTTTCATTAAATAACAAATAAAGTAAAATAAAAATAAATATAGAAAATGATTAATTAATTATTAAAATAAAATAAAATAGACATAAAAATTACTTTAAAAACAATTTTTTATTAAATAAATATAATAAATTAGTGGAAAGTTAGTGGAAAAAAGTTAATTTTTATTAAATAATAAATAAAATAAAATAAAAAATATAGAAAGTGACTAACATAACTTTAATTTTAGTGTCAAAAATTCTTTCAATGACTTAACAATTTTAATAATAATAATAATAATGATAATAATAATAATAATAATAATAATAATAATAATAATAATAGTAATAATAATAATAATAATAATAATAATAGTAATTATAATAATTAAAATAATAATAATAATAATAATATAATAATAATAATAATAATAATAACAATAATAATAATAATAATAATAAAATTAAAAGAATTTTTTTTCCAATAAATTAAATTGGCTTAATATCTTTTTTCATTATCTTTACCTCAAAGTCTACGTTGATTCCTTAACTTATAAAAAGACAATTCATTTCTTATGTGTT